CCAGGGAATAGCAGAGAGGGCTAGGAAAGAATTTTGCCTGAAAACCCTGGAAAGCTGTTGCCAATCAGAGTTGTGAGTACTGAGCTAGAAGGACCTATGATCTGAGTATGCATAAGCCATCTTCTTACGATTCCTCCATGTTCCTGATATACCTGGATCGTCACACACTTTTTCCCCCCAATTCTCAAATAAACAAAAACAAAACACCTCTAGTTTATGAATATGGGATATTGTACTTCTGTATCCATGATTCAAAACACCAGGAAATGGCCCAATATTGCTGTACAATATCATGTCTGCATTGCCAGCAGAAAAAAAGATGCCAGGCTTTACATAACAAAGGGCAGCCTGAATGTTGAAAACAAGCAAACAAGAGGGTCTACACTGCAGTGGTCCCCAACCTTGGGCCTCCAGATGTTCTTGGACTTCAACTCCCAGAAATCCTGGCCAGCAGAGGTGGTGGTGAAAGCTTCTGGGAGTTGTAGTCTAAGAACATCTGGAGGCCCAAGGTTGGGGACCACTGGTCTACAGGATATCCTCTTGTGCTCACAAAGTGACAAGCAAGGTAAAATCCTGGAAGTAGACTATTTTTCATTTTTAACCACTTCTCACCCAAACACTAAGCAATTGTGACAGCTAATATTTTTTTTGACAAGAATAAATGTTTATGAACCAGAGGGTATTTTAAGAACTGAATTTCATGTTTTTTTAAAAAACAGAAATTTAAGTATTCATGCACTACACACACATTCCAACAGAAACTTCCCTCGTGTAGAATTACCCTGTGCTAGAGGATCCTAGAAGACAACCACATATGGTTGCTGGGAAAGAACAGAAGCAAGAACAGGTGGAATGTGGCAGTAGTCTCTCTCGGCGCCAAAATATTTTGAAGAGTTGTTTTGGACTTAATGAAATTGTGAAGAGGAGGTGTGAGTAAGTGCAGCCCATACAATGGAAAAATGTACACACTTTTAACCTCTCAGGTAAGCTAATGTTGTCATGTCTGTCCCATGGAATGCAGACAAGAAAACTATCTTCAAACCCTTTCCTTGAGTTAGGCAAGCTAAGGGGGGGAAAAGGCTTATCTGACCAAAAACTTTAAGAACATGTTGTGTGCATGTTTTCCTCATATTTTGAAAGAAAAAAAAAGGGAGAGTCACCAGTAAACAAAGATTATCACTAGAAACCAAGGTCAAAATCATCCACACTATGTGAAAGACAGACAGTGAAAAATCGGGACAAAATTGACTCACTGGAAATGTGGTGCTGGAGGACAGCCATACAGAAACCACAGTCAGAAAGGTAGAAAAGTGAGCGCTCAATCAGATCAAGCCTGAACTCCCTTTAGAGCAGAAAAAAGGAGTAAACTGAGGCTACCATGCACATATAATGAGAATTTTGATCATGACACCCTTAGGATCATGTTTATCATGGTGCTGGATTTTGGAATGTTTTTTTCCCCTTGATGTTTTTTATTGCCTTTCTATTACTGTTACGTTTTGTTGTGTTTGCCACCCAAAGTAGTAGATTTGCTACTAGTTGGGCAAGATAAAAAATGCAAGTAAGTAAGTAAGTAAGTAAGTAAGTAAGTAAGTAAGTAAGTAAGTAAGTAAGTAAGTAAGTAAGTAAGTAAGTAAAAAATAAAATATAGAACTGACCTGAAAAAGCAATATGCTGGGAAAAGTTGGGGGGGCAGAAAGAAAGACCTAATATGAGGCAGATTGTTTCACAGCTGTTAGTTTGCAAGACCTGGGCAGAACTTACTGGAAAGGCAACAGTAAGAGAACAACCTAATATGAGATGTTTTTGATTTGCAAGATGTAAGCAGAACTATTATATGACTAGTTAGTGCCATCTGTTTTTAGGGTTATTGTTGTTGCTTTTAATGTTTTTAATCTTTATTTTTGTTTTCTATTACATGTGTTGTAACAGAGTCGTGCCTTGACACTAATGGGAGCAGTATACAAACTGAATGAATAAACGAATAAATAAACGAATAAACGAACGAACAAACAAACAAACAAGCAAACAAACAAACAAATCATATATTTACCACACATCAGATGTGACTTGATGGCACAGAACCTGTTTGGCAATGTTTTCTTAATTACTAAATATATGGGACAAATGATTGAAACTATAAGAGGATAGAGGCACCAAAGCTCAGCTAACATTGAAGAAGATCATCTCCAGCTATATGGTGAAAATCAGTCATTTCACAGCTTTAACAAGTGAGCTTCAGAATATTCTTCTCTATTTTTAAAATTATTTTTAATATTTTTACAACCACACATAGAATCCCTTTGTAAGCACAAATCCTTGTTTGGCCAGGAAGGAGTTAAAATTCAATTGGGTTCTGATTAACAAGTTCAAAAGTTCAGACTGCCCCAGATTTGAATATGTTTTCCCCTTGTCTCAGGAGGCTGGTCTTAGAAATCCTAAGAGAAAGTTTTCTGAAATCATTCAGGGCTGGGAGAAACGTAACTGCTTTATTCTGTAATGCAGAAATATTCTGAACATGTCTGACAAAGTTGTATGCTAATTCCCTGGAGACCATAGCAAAATGAGGACTGTCACTCCATTACTTTCTTTGAAGCAAGCCTGGTTATTTGACTTTTTAAAGAAAACGTGTCTTTAAAGAAAACATGTCTTTTTCCCCTTGACCTTTTATTATCCTACAGCCTTCCCTCCACAAAGCTGCAGCAATCTACTCTAGAACTCTCTTGCCACTGAACCTGTTTGAGGCATTTTTAAGGATCAATATTTCAGCTCCTACATCCTGGATTCTTTAGAAAAAAAGTGTTTGGGCCCAGCTATTCTATTTCAAGATAAGCAAGACTGGTCTCTTCAATTTATTTGATCTCATTTGAATCTTGGGTTGTTTGGGCTTGCCTATTCCTGTACAGGGGTGGGTAAAACATTTTTACTTTTATAAAATCATACCTTGAAAGACCTTTGCCAAAGCTTTCCCAAATTTAGTACAGAACAAGAGTGGACGGTCTGCTACAACCTGCACTGAATGAGGTGCTGATCTGAAATCCGGTTTCAAAGTTATAATTTTTTATTTGGGCTGCCCCATTTTTTAAGATTGCCTTGTAGAATGTTGCTTCACTTTGCTGCACACACAGCTATAATAATGTACACAATGCACCATTAACACATACAAAGAAAACTGAGGTCATCAAAAATATTAGCCATTGGTGGCAAAACTGTTCACTAGAGACAATGATCTGAGTGTGATGGGAACCCCCTGAACATCCAGGACAAGATCTCTGCATCGTGTTTGCACTGCAGACTGAATTGAGTTTTTGTGGATTTCTTCAGAACAATATGGTATTTCACAATGAGGCAATGGAATACAGGGCAGTTTTACTAAGCTAGCACTTGAGATTGTCTCACATCTGGCTGTAATACATAGTGTACGTCTTGTTTTGGAAAAAAGGGGGGGGAGCAGAACCCAGCCAATTGTGTTGTTAAAAGAGGAAGTGGTGCCAACTGATTCATTTAACACAACAGTCCTAAGCATGTCTACTTTTCAGTCACCATGACTGAATTCAATGGGAATCCCTGGTAGATTTGCTCAGGCTGCAGCCTGAAGGAAGCCACAGACAAGAAGAAAGCTTCACAATTAGAAGCAGAACTGCCTTAAGAAGGTGATACTATTTAATTTTCCTTCAATAATCTTTGATTATCCTTCAAGAAGACTTCCCAGTTCTGCAAGCTACAAATTAGATGACAGGTTTCTGAGATGTAAAGAAAGGCTTCATCTACAAGTTGATTGTGTGTGTGTGGCAGTTTTGAAGGAACAGACCTCCAGCTTCTAACTGCAAAGCTGTTATACCATCTGAAAAGCTGATGGCAGTGAAGGAGCAATACATCCCCTGGGGTGAGGAAAGAGGAAACTTGGAGTCGTATGTCCAAACTGAATGGTATATGGATGGACATTAACTCAAAGCCTGCTAAACTCATGCTGGTAACGGTAGCAATTGTGGGAATGGAAAAGCATTTCATTAGTTTTGAGTTTCTCACCAGTACGATTTATTTCTCACCTCCAAAGACTTGTTATGAAACAAAACACATCATGGCTGAGAAATTCACAAATATGAACAGATTGCAGTATATTTCAGACAAATGAAATCATATATTTTAGAAGTGTAGATGGATCTCAACACATGGGAAACCCTGACATCTGACCGTTCAGCCTGGAGGCAGGCGGTGCATCACGGCCTCTCCCAATTTGAAGAGACCCTTGTCCAGCAGGCCGAGGCAAAGAGGTAGTCCAGAAAGCAGCAAAATCAGGGAGCTGGACAGGGGACAGATTGGATTTGTCTTCAGTGTGGAAGGGATTGTCACTCTCGAATTGGCCTTCTCAGCCACACTAGACGCTGTTCCAAGTCCTACATACAGAGCACATTACCATAGTCTCTAGAGACGCCTAATGAATAAAGATGGCTAAAACTATGTACAATTCAAAAATGTGCAAGAAAACACAAACATATTTTCAATGGAGAAAACATATACAAAAACTGCATTTAAGAAAAGCATGAAGAAATGTATATGTCGGGGCGAAATTATAATAAAAGCTACAATTTTCGTATACCCAGAGACATTGGTCTCTTTCACAATTGGGTCCACTGGACGTTATAAGTTCGTTTTGCTTTCGGAACCATAAACTGCCACCAGATGGGCAATTTACGAAATTGAATGCAAACGGATATTTGCATTCCTTTTAGTTAAGCTGTCCATTTGATGCCAGACTCACATCTCTCTGCCTCTGGAAATTATAAGGGATCGATGTTACAGGTCATGCCCCAATGCAGAGCTTCTGCTCAAAACACACTGAGCACCTGTTGGGGATCATGAATTATTTGTAGAGCCTGTGGCTTAAAAAGAAGAAGCCAGTCCTTTTGTTTTCTGTAGATTCAGTATAAAGAACCGCAAAGTTCAGGAAAAAGAATTCCAAAATAAAGACATAAAAAGGGGATATATTCGAAACGTACCTTTTTGACCATCGATAGCACAGTCTTCCTTGCCCACAGCAATTCAAGCCAGGTATTCTGTGACCTCCAGATCGCTTCATGATCATGCCTTCTCTGAACACAAAGAGAGAAAAGGGAGAGCATTGCTTTAGCAAGGGTTTAGAAAAGATCGCTTCTTGAACTGCACCACCCAGAATGCTACCTGGGGATTCTGGGCATTGTTGTCAGAAAAGCTGAAATGCAGACGTTTTCTGAATCAAGCTGCGGTCACCCAAGAAGAGAATTTCAGTTCACTCCCCTTTTACATACTAGAAACAAGCTAAAAAGAAAAGAGGGTGCATATTTTAAGAAATATGATAAAGAACCTGTCCTTGACTGCTCTTCCTGCTTGCTCAGGTGCACAGCTTCTTAGATGAAAGTAGTCAAGTAGAAATTGGCTCCTACTGCCATTTTTTGGATGCTAACAGGGAATTCAGTGGGGCTTGGGAAAGGGTGCACAGAACGACACTATTAGACTGCACATCGTGGAGCTACTTGGAGCAGAAGGCCATGGCAGACACTTTTCCTGGTGTTTTTACATTTGAAATTCCAGCTTAAAGAAGCACACCAAAGGAGTTCACCTAATTGCCCATATCTGACATCTGCCTAGAAAAGTAAACAAATCAGCAGGAGAGATGCCAGAAAGCTGCAATCCAAAGCACATTGAGCAGATAGCAAAGTTTAGAGAAGTAACTTTTCAAAGCACTGGGGAAAAATACCCATGGCCCATTGATCTCAGTGAAGCTCACCACTGAATAAATAAGCTTTGGACTGAGTTGCATGTATATGGGTCATCAGTCATAGCATACTTGAACTGAGACCTTCTGTAAATCTCTCTCCCTTGAGCTGCTGCAGAACTTTGAAAAACATGGGTCTTCTGTAGGCTCTTTGCTTTTCTTCACTCTGACTGGTCTCTCTCTCTCTCCATCCCCTCTGTGTTTTGTTGTTGTTGTTCTATATAGTAATTTCTCCATGGTGCTATTAATGCTCCAGTTGGCCTTGGCTGCTGAGCCTGTAATAGTAGCAAGATGTGCAAGATCCAACAAGCAAAGCTTATTATTACATGGATATAAGTCTTTTTGTTACCTGCTAAGCGTTGCACACCAAGCTCTTGTTAACGGTCTATGCAACAAAGCACTGCCTCGTGCAACTACTTTGTGTTCTGTCTTGGTTCATTTCTTCATTTCAGATACTTAAAAAGCAAAAAAGTGTGCTGCTTATATACCACCCTATAGTGCTTAAGCACTCTCTGGGCGGTTTACAGATTAATTATGCAGGCTACACATTGCCCCCCCCCCGAGAGCTGAATACTCGTTTTTCTGCCCTTGCAAGGATAGAAGTCTGAGTCAATATTGAGCCAGCTACCTGGGATTGAACCTCAGGTCGTGAGCACAGTTTGTACAGCAGTTTAACCACTGCACCATGAGGCTCTATTTATTTATTTATTTTTTACTGAATTTGCCTGCCTCACTGTGTGTTCCCCTTTCCATACCAACCTCCTCTATATGGGCTGCCTTTTAGGACTAAGCACAACCTGACTCTCTCCCTAGTTCCACCCTATTTGATGCACCACCTTTCCCACCTCCAGTTTTAAATAAATAGAGAAGAGGCCCCATTTTTTCCTTTTAATGATCCATTACCAACTTACATGCCCTTCGGTCCTAGATCATGGATAAATGACAACTGACTTACACCAAGGAATTCCATCTGAAAAATGTAAACACAAAAGGTGAAAAGGGGTTCATATTATTTGAAGGCAGGAACCTAGAGAGTAGTCTGGTTCACTTAAAAAAAAACTTTAGGGATGTGCATACAGAGCTGCATCTGCATTTCAGGGATGAAAGGAGGAGAGGGAATTAAATATGAACAAGGGAGGAGCACCTGTTAGTAGGAGATAAACATAACACGCCTTTTGAACTTATGGACTATGCAATAAAGATTCTTTTAAGCCAGACCTGAAGGAAGATCACATATGGGCCAGCTCTGGCAACAAGCTTCATTTTGTAGCTAGCATTCCTTTTAGGATGCAGTGAAATAGGAAAACGAACTTGATAGCCTAGTTAGTACAATAAGATACTATGGTCAAGATCCCAAGAACCACTAAACATGTTCTGTCTGTGGCCCTTTGACTTGTGTTCTGAGAACGGGAGTGCCCACCTGTGATGATACATAGCTACCTTTGGCTGCTATGAAGAATTTAGCCCTCTAGCTGCTTTGATGACACAGAATCATAAATATTCTAATATTAGATACTTGGGGATCAGTGCAGGTTCTACACAGAAAGTAGAAAGACGGTTCACCAAATAGAAAATGGTTATTAAGAATTTGGAATAGGAGTCATTGTCTTGCATGGGCAGATGAGAAAGTGTGGGAAGAAGGACGATGTAGATGCTAAAGATGTAGATGGGAATGTGTATATATCTCATGGACAATCTAGCAACAGATGAAGATATGTACTGTTGAAGTTTCTCCCTCCATGGTTGTTGTAGGTTTTTCGGGCTGTTTGGCCATGTTCTGAAGGTGTTCTACAACAACCATCAGATCCCGGCGGTAAAAGCCTTCGAGAATACATTTCTCCATCCACCTGCTGAAAACAACCTAGGAAATCATGGCTGAAATTTTGTTGCTTAGTTCAGCAAGTCCCTCTAAAGTCGGTCCACTGAATCAGTGGGGATCTGGTCAGCCAACTCTTCCATAAGTTCCATTGATTTAAATTGTCCTACTCTAGTTGCAACTTATTTTAGCACAGGAAGTTAGAACTAGAGTAAGTCATCTCCTCCATAAGTTCAATGGATCTGTTCTAGTGCTACCTGCTTCACTAAGCAACAGAATTTGTTCTGTGCTATGGAACACAGGGCAAAAAATGAAAAATACACAACTTCATGCACACAGAGCAATGGGAGGTACTTAGAGTTGCGTCTATGATACAAAGTTATAGCAGTTCGACACCACTGCCAAGCTCATGGAACCTCAGGACTTGTCATCTGGTGAAGTACTTAGCAATCTGCACTAGAGAGCACTAGTGAGCTCCTATCAAATACAGCAGAACATTCTACATATCTGATGGAACTAAGCTCCATAGGATTCCATAGGATAGAGCCACAGACATCAAAGTGTTGTCAGACTGCTATAACTGGGTAGTGCAGACACAGTTCTGTAATGAACGTAGATTAGTGAGAAAGAACAGATATCAGCCATAGATATAAAATAACTTGCCAAATCAAACGGAAAGCATTTTATTCCCAACCTCAGAGCTAGATAGCAACTGTGAAGCTAACTTTAACACAAAACGTCATAAAGAATGAGAAATGTTTGTGTGTGGGTCAATGCACATGCAAGCATGTTTCCATAAATGAATGCTCGTAGGGCAGAGCTGGCTTGAGTCAAGTTCACAAAGCGTTCCACTGTTCCCACAACTCAGACCCTGAGATGCATTTTGCCCTTTGCTCTCTTGCTACCATAAAGTTATCTGAGAAAATACAGAGCCATTGCCAGACAGAACCAGAGCCATGTGTGTGAGTGTGTGTGGCAGCATGCTCAAAAGCTGTATTTTACCCTGTATTTTATCGTGTACTTGAATAATCTTCAGTGACTCAACACTAACAGATGCCAAGTTGGCATAATATCGCTTTCATGAACAGAAGGTAATTATATTATTACACATGCATGAATATCCAAGCCTACACATACTGCAGACTGCATTACAGTCACTTCTTTAAGAAAGACCACCTTGGATTAGATTGAGGATTAATCCAGGCCAGCATCCTGTTTCGAAGTGAACTAAAATGGATGGGAATGGGCAAATTCAATTCAGAGGATTATCATATCTACTATTGTGGGCAAGAATCCTGTAAGCAGATGGAACGCTGGGTGCAGCACTACTCCGAGCTATATTCCAGAAAGAATGTAGTAACCGAAGAAGCATTAAATAACATTGAGTGCCTGCCTGTCTTGGAAGAGCTGGACAGCGAACCAACCCTAGCAGAAATAAATGCGGCCTTGGATTCCCTCACCTCTGGCAAGGCACCTGGAAGGGACAACATCCCTGTTGAAGTGCTGAAATGCGGTAAGGAGATCATCATCACCGAACTGTATGAAATCTTTTGTCTCTGCTGGAGGGAAGGTGGAGTACCACAGGACATGAAGGATGCAAACATTGTCACGTTGTACAAGAACAAAGGTGACAGGGGTGACTGCAATAACTACCGTGGTATCTCTCTTCTTAGCGTTGTAGGGAAGCTGCTTGCCCGTGTTGTGCTGAAGAGGCTCCAGGTGCTTGCAGACAGAGTCTATCCGGAATCACAGTGTGGATTTCGAGCAAATAGATCCACCACTGACATGGTATTCTCCCTCCGACAGTTGCAGGAGAAATGCAGGGAACAACAACAGCCACTCTTAGTGGCCTTCATAGACCTTACAAAAGCATTTGACTTGGTTAGCAGGGATGGCCTTTTCAAAATACTTCCCAAGATTGGATGTCCACCTCGTCTCCTTAACATCATCAGGTCCTTCCACGATGGAATGAAAGGCACTGTAGTTTTTGACGGCTCAACATCAGATCCCTTTGACATCCGAAGCGGAGTGAAACAGGGCTGTGTCCTCGCACCAACACTTTTTGGGATCTTTTTTGCTGTCATGCTGAAGCATGCCTTTGGAACTGCAACAGAAGGTGTCTATCTCCGGACTAGATCAGATGGAAAGCTCTTTAATCTCTCTAGATTGAGAGCAAAGACCAAAGTCCAGCTGAAATGCATGAGGGACTTCCTCTTTGCAGACGATGCAGCCATTGTTGCCCACTCTGCTGAAGACCTCCAACAACTCATGAATCGTTTCAGCAAGGCCTGCCAAGACTTTGGACTAACAATCAGCCTGAAGAAAACACAAGTCATGGGCCAGGGTGTGGACTCACCTCCCTCTATTACCATCTCCACACAAGAATTGGAGGTTGTTCATGACTTTGTGTACCTTGGCTCAACCATCTCTGACACCCTCTCTCTAGATGTCGAGCTGGATAAACGCATTGGGAAAGCAGCCACCATGTTCTCTAGACTCACAAAGAGAGTATGGCTCAATAAGAAACTGACAACACATACCAAGATCCAGGTCTATAGAGCCTGTGTCCTGAGCACACTCCTGTACTGCAGCGAGTCCTGGACCCTTTGTGCCCGGCAGGAGAGGAAGCTGAACACCTTCCATATGCGTTGCCTACGACGGATTTTTGGTATCACCTGGCAGGACAGAGTTCCAAATAGAGTAGTCCTAGAACGAGCTGGAATTTTCAGCATGCATACATTACTGAAACAGCGACGTCTACGCTGGCTTGGGCACGTTGTGAGAATGGCTGATGGTCGGGTTCCAAAGGATCTCCTATATGGAGAATTAGTGCAGGGAAATCGCCCCAGAGGGAGACCACAGCTGCGATACAAGGATATCTGCAAGCGGGATCTGAAGGCCTTAGGAATAGACCTCAACAGATGGGAAACTCTGACATCTGATCGTTCAGCCTGGAGGCAGGCAGTGCATCACGGCCTCTCCCAATTTGAAGAGACCCTTGTCCAGCAGGCTGAGGCAAAGAGGAAGTCACAAAGGAAGCAAAACCAGGGAGCTGGACAGGGGACAGATTGGATTTGTCTCCAGTGTGGAAGGGATTGTCACTCTCGAATTGGCCTCCTCAGCCACACTAGACGCTGTTCCAAGTCCTCCATACAGAGCACGATACCATAGTCTTTCGAGACTGAAGGATGCCTACACACACTTTCTGATGGCAGAAAGTGAGGAGGAATTAAAAAACCTCTTAATGAGGGTGAAAGAGGAGAGTGCAAGAAATGGTCTGAAGCTCAATATTCAAAAAAACCAAGATCATGGCCACTGGTCCCATCAGCTCCTGGCAAATAGAAGGTGAAGATATGGAGGTAGTGACAGATTTTACTTTCTTGGGCTCCATGATCACTGCAGATGTGACAGCAGCCACAAATTAAAAGAGGCCTGCTTCTTGGGAGGAAAGCGATGACAAACCTCAACAGCATCTTAAAAAGCAGAGACATCACCTTGCTGACAAAGGTCTGCATAGTCAAAGGTATGGTTTTTCCAGTAGCGATGTATGGAAGTTAGAACTGGACCATAAAGAAGGCTGACCGCCGAAGAATTGATGCTTTTGAACTGTGGTGCTGGAGGAGACTCTTGAGAGTCCCCTGGATTGCAAAGAGAACAAACCTCTCCATTTTGAAGGAAATCATCCCTGAGTGCTCAGTGGAAGGACAGATCCTGAAGCTGAGGCTAATGACTAAACAATAACAAAAAATTTAAGCTGCTTATGCCACTATTCTGTCCTTACAGCAAACCAGCTTGGGGGGGGAAATAAAGGAAATGATCCAGTATTGTCATTTGTCACTCACCGTTCCATGGTAATTCCTGTACAAGGGCATTTTTAAGAGGTTTGTTAAATAATCTTCTAGTTGTTTCTGCAAGGCAAATACAGAAAAGAGAAGATAGGATGACAAATTTCTTGTTGCATCTCATTATTCACCCAAATTACAAATTTGCTGAAATAATTACTATAACATCTATGACTATTTTAATGGAACAGAATTGAATCAAGGAATAGATATAGAAAACACCGTAGAGAGATGTGGAAATACTAGGAAACATGAAAGAAAGACAGTGCAGAGAGATAAAGAGACGGTGTTCCCTTGTAACTGTCTTGTAGAGAATATCAACATGGAAACTTCCAAAAAGGTATCCACATTGGTTTATTTCAGCAATCCAACACGCACACTCTTGTCTTTGTCAATGCAGCATCTAGGAACGGCTTGTGTGAATCACTGCACCTAAGACAGGCCCTTTGGAGGGTATCAAATACAATTCTCTGTACACTGAAATAATTTCTCTATAAGGGTGCAGCTACACTGGAAAGCTGAATCAGAACAATCTGGCTTTGCTACGATTTGATTTGCAGCCTGTATTACATTTGAAACCGCAATCAGTGCCCACACAAGAGCTGTGGATTAATTTGGGAGTTCATCATTCATACTGGATGTGATGTGAGTCACATGCCAGCCCACAGCTCCTCTCTGGTCCTGTCTCTGTTGATCCTTTTAGGGTTCGCTTTGAACCCGCTTTCTCATTTAAAGCTTTAGACTACTATATTTCTCAAAATTCTTTCTATAGAAAAACAATATGGGAAGGTACTTAACAGTCTAAGAGTACAGAATATCAAAAGTTTGACTAGTAATATTGCTAAGCATGAGAATTATTGCATAACAGGGATCACCACCTTTCCATCTGTTACTCTTTTTTTTACCCTCAAGTAATGCATACAGGAATGACCTCATATCTGGTTGTAGTTTATCATTTGAATAGTTTAAAACCATATGTGACCAGAGATGAGGTCATTCCCACATGCATTACTTGAAAGTAAAGAAGAACGTTTAAGAGAGAGACGTGATTTGAATGACACTTTCAGACCTGTCAATTAAGTGATTAACACCACCAAGCATTTGCTACACAACAAAAAGGCCTTCCCACACAATCTGACAGAACTGAGAACTAGCATTTCATCCCCCACATTAAAATCATCACATTTTGCTTTTGCAAGTCCCCACACCTGGTCTGAACATCGCATTTCAACTGCCTATGTTACTGAAACACTACCTACAGACATAAACATACATCCATCTTTACAAAAAGCAAGGTTTGCAGCTTATATACCACCTTAAAGCACTCTCTGGGTGGTTTACATTTTTATTCTGCAGGCTACACATTGCCCCACCTAGCAAGCTGGACACTCAATTTATTGACCTCATAAAGATGGAAGACTGAGTGAACATCAAGCCAGCTACCTGGGATTGCACCCGAGTTGTCGGCAGAGTTTTGGTTGCAGTACTGCAGTTTAAACACTGCACCACAAGGCTCACAAGAACATATCACAACTGCAAAGCACACGAAAAAGCCCATTTGAATCATTTCGGCTTAAAAAAGTAGAAGCCACCCCCAGCAGCACAGGATAAAAAGCTGCTTTGGGAACAAAAAGGGCTGGACTGATTTGAACCAGCCTTTGTATAATGCCATCAGTAAAAGAAAATACTTTGAATGCATCTGTTTTATAAGTGGAACAAATCTTGCAGTGTTAGACCATGTACTGACATTACTGATGTTTCAAAATAAAGGATTTTTGAACATCAGAAATGGTGCCCTTTCTATCTGGGCTCTCCGTATCACTGAATTGTGCTTATTGTGGTTTTTAATCTAGGATTTGATCATATAAATGTGACCATTGTCTTTTCACCTAAGTGAAGAAAAATAACTTGAAGATTATTATTCAGTGGGAAGATACTCACTCTTCTACTGGACAGGTGTTCTTCTCTGACCATGTTCTCAGAGGTGCGTGGTAGACTCGGCATTTGCGTAGCTTCTGCCCTTTTGACGGTTTGTCTTCGGACAGTGTGTCTGAAAAACGGAATGTTTGGATTATGGGAGTTTGTTCATCCAGTGGAACAGAGAGGAGGAAGGTAAACGGTCTGTTCCACTCTTCATCATTAAATACCTTCCTGCCACTATAACAATATCCAAAACAAAACAAAAACCTTCAGCATGTGTAAAAATAGTGTGCATAAAATAATGTGTAAAAAACCATGCATGCAAATCAGATATTATTTTTTCACCCTTCAAAATATCTTAGAGGATGGGAACAATATATCCTTTGCATACTAACTCATTAAGTTTAATCTCAACTACAGTGGTTTTCCCTAGGATACCAGTCTTACAATTGCACTGTGCTTAATTCTGGCCCCCTATCCTCTTATTATTTTGAATAGCAGCCCTACCTAGAGTAACCACATTGGAGATGCCGAATGCCTTTCAAGAACCACAGAAACCAAGATCCAGCACTTAGGTGTCTAGACTAACCCAGCCATCACTCCGTTCATGTGGATCTTTTGGTAATATGTTCATAGCAGCTCATCAGCGACCATATATTTTTAATTTCTAGGCTGCCTCCATATGTTTCCAAGGGCAGTTCAGCCTCATTGACCCTCTTCCTGGCCTTCTGAGATTTCATCAAACATTCTCATCTCCTTTACAAATATTATGTGCTCATATGTAAAGGCTAGATGTAGACAGGGATTCCCACGTGAAGCGTGACGAACATAAGAAAGTATGGCTCTCCTACTTTAAAAAATGTAAATACAAATAAATAAAAAATTCCCTTGATATGTACACTCAAGGACTGCATTTGCCTTTTTTGCCACTATCGTACATTGTTGCCTCATGCTTATTTTGTGGTCTACCAAGACTCATAGACTCTTTTCACACATACAACTGCCAAATCAGTTGTCACCAACTCTATTCTTGCGCATCTGTGTTCCCCACACTAAGTGGAGAACTTCACATTCTTCCCTGTTCACATTCATTCTGTTTTGGCTCTGTTCTGCCATTTGTTAATCCTCATTCAGTCATCTGAAGTATCAGCTGCCCCTCTCAATTTCGTGTCATCTACAAAATTTGATGAGCATCCTCTCTGTTCTTTCGTCTATGTCATCCATAAAGATGCTGAACAACACTAGAACAGAAGCCTGCAGGCCCCCATTTGTTACTTCTCTCTGGATGAGGAGAAACCATTGGTGAGCAGGTTCTGTCTGTAACTCATCATCCAGTTACAATATCACTTAACCTTAGTAACTCTACAAAAAAGAGAAAGACAGGGTGGAGGGAGAGGTTACCTCTGAAAGGATTTGTTTTTGAGAAACTTGTCCTGCCTCTTGATCGTCATTGCATTCCTTCCTAAGTGCACAGAGGCTAACTACTTGCAACCTAGCTCTGCCTGGTCCTCCGTAGCTAAAATCTTTAGTAAGACACAACTTGTGTAGGCCCACTGAATCGACTGGAATTTGTCAAGTCACTTCCTTCATAAATTTCACGGGTTCAGTAAGCCTAATGTTGTTGTTTAGTCATTTAGTCACATTTCTTTGTGACCCCATGGACCAGAGCACGCCAGGCCCTCCTGTCTTCCACTGCCTCCCAGAGTTGGGTCAAATTCACGTTGGTAGCTTCGATGACACTGTCCAACCATCTCATCCTCTATCGACCCCTTCTCCTCTTGCCTTCACACTTTCCCAACATCAGGGTCTTTTCCAGGGAGTCTTCTCTTCTCATGAGATGGCCAAAGTATTGGAGCCTCAGCTTCAGGATCTGTCCTTCCAGTGAGTGCTCAACGTTGATTTCCCAGGCCTACTGCAGCTGATATTTACTATGCTAAGCAACATAATTTTAACCAATGCCTCTTTTATTCTATCGATATTAGGGTGGGCATTGTTTTCCTTCCATGGTAAGATAGGGGTAAAGGACATACTGTATAATGGAGTTTCTGCTGTCTCTCACGTACGTAGGCACTGCAGGTGCTTATGAGCATGAGCACTCTTTCCCTATGCCAGCCTTTCCCAATCAATCCATCATTTAGAAACATCTATGAAATTACCTCCTTGTAGGAATGGGAATCCGAACAAAAGCTTTGTATCGAAGCAGTTCCCTGTGGAATTCCTGGAGCTCTGTTCTGCCATTTGTTAATCCTCATTCAGTCATCTGAAGTATCAGCTGCCCCTCTCAATTTCGTGTCATCTGCAAAATTTGATGAGCATCCTCTCTGTTCCTTCGTCTATGTCATCTATAAAGATGCTGAACAACACTGGAACAGAAGCCTGCAGCCCCCCATTTGTTACTTCTCTCTGGATGAGGAGAAACCATTGGTGAGCAGGTTCTGCCTGTAGCTCATCAACCAGTTACAATAACAGTTAACCTTAGTAACTCTACCAAAAAGAGAAAGATAGGGTGGAAGGAGAGGTTATCTCTGAAAGGATTTGTTTTTGAGAAACTCGTTCTGCCTCTTGATCATCACTACTCTATGAAAAACAGCACTAAATTGATTTCCCACACTAAAACATGCACAAAAATAGTTTTACTACCAGCACAAAAACCATGATGCCCAGGAGCAAAGTACTTATTTAAGTGAAAAATGGGAAGCCATCAGCTCTGAATTAGCAATATAATCTTGGAATCAGAATCTTAGTTTCCTATCCATGGCATTTACAGCCAGGTTGATGAGGCAAGGGAGAAAAAAAGTCTACCTGGTCGTGACCGACTCTTCGTGACCCCATGGACCAGAGCATGTCAGGCCCTCCTGTCTTCCACTGCCTACCAGAGTTGGGTCAAATTCATGTTGGTTGCTTCAGTGACAATGTCCAAACATCTCGTCCTCTGTCGTCCCCTTCTCCTCTTGCCTTCACACTTTCCCAACATCAGGGCCTTTTCCAGGGAGTCTTCTCTTCTCATGAGATGGCCAAAGTATTGGAGCCTCAGCTTCAGGATCTGTCCTTCCAGTGAGCACTCAGGGTTGATTTGACAGGCCTACTGTAGCTGATATTTACTATGCTAAGCAACAGAATTTTAACCACTGTCTCTTTTATTCTATCGGTGTTAGGGTGGGCACCAGCGTTTTCGCGCCCTTGGTGAGCGAGGGGAGGGCACAAAAACGCTGCCCGCAGCCATTTCGGCTGTTCCGGCAGCGTTTTCACACCCTCCCCTCGCTTACCAAGGGCGTGAAAATGCTGCGCATGGCCATTTTGGGGTCGCGCGGCGGCCATTTTGGATCCGCCGACCAGCTGATCGGCAGGTCGCAAAGTGAAGGTCGGTAAGCGAATTGCTTACCGACCTTCGCTCTGTGAATTGTGCCCTATCTAGGTGCCGTTTTGCGATTGCTTTTGCGATCGCAAAAACGGCACCGTTGCGCGGATTCGTCGCTATACGGAGCGACCGTTCTGTGAGGCACCACTGTATTTGGAAAACAAGCAGTATTTCTTACAGGCCGATTATTTAATGAAGTGAAATGTTATATTTTCCTAACCAACCATAACATTTAGCATATTCAGTGAAAGAAAGTAGTTCTCCTAGGTAAGCAGCATAGAAAATGAACATACTCTATGAAAAACAGCACTAAATTGATTCCCCACACTAAAATATGCACAAAAAATAGTTTTACTACCAGCACAAAACCCATGTTGCCCAGGAGCAAAGTACATATTTAAGTGAAAATGGGAAGCCATCACCTCTGCATTAGCAATATAATCTGAAGGTCTACCTTGGAATCAGAATCTTAGTTTCCTATCCATCGCATTTACAGCCAGGTTGATGAGGCAAGGGAGAAAAAAAGTCTACCTGAGAATCTCTGAAAACATTTGGTGGTCCGATTAAACTGTAATAGGCTCTATGGACCAGTGGTGTAATACAGTGTTTCCCAAATTTGGGTCTCCAGATATTCTTGGGGAGTCTTGTGGCACAGAGATTAAACAGCAATACTGCCAACCCAGAAGCATCTCTGCTTCCATATCATTGTATATGCAGTATACAAACTTTATTCAGTTTTCTCATACTTGCAAATTGTGACATGATTGATGATAATGGGATAAGAATGCCCTGTCTCATTTTAGGGTCAAATTTCACTCTAAGAAGACCACCAATTTTCTGCTATTACCAGCTATGGAGACCTTCAAAACTCTCTGCCGAGCAATCAGACTTGCAAATGAAGCCTATAATTACACTTCCATAATCGGTTACAAAACAAAACCAACTTTGTAGTGCGTGGCAAGTTCAGGCTTGATAAACAGATGCCTTCTGCATCTTAAGGGAGTTTTCGCTTCTAATGACATGCTAACTGTATATACAAAATGTATATTAGTTTCAAGGTCCCCCCCTTCCCACACATGTTCCAGTGGGAAAATCAAAGGTTAGTGAATATCTACAGATCTTGACAAGAAAAGCATATTTTCTTAAGGTGACTTAAGATTTAAACAACACAGTATGTTGAGGGAGGAGCTCCCGTTTCCCACGGAATAAGCACAATATCCCAAGCATTTCTCAAGGGGATGAAGCTTGGACTACTCTGGATGCTGTATTTATGTCCCTGTGAATGACATCCTTGAGAAAATGACTCTGAATCCTGCATTTTAGATCTGAAACCAGGAGGACATAAAGGCAATGTGAAGGAATGAGAACTGAGACTGCAGGAATTGTAGCCGCCTGCTATGCTCATGCCCATTAAGGGAAACTTCCCTCCAATAAGCATGTAGCTAGATGCACACTGTGGATGCACAGTTACTATCCTTCCATTGCATCCCAGTGGGGTATCTCAAGATGATTTCTCCTTTGTGGCAAATACGTCTTGGCTATCAGGCAAAAAAACAAATAAAAACAGAAGAACAACAACAACATCATCAACAAAAAAAGACAGGAAGAAGTGGACCGGTCCACAACAATCCACATGAAAATATAGCTGTCGGTCTTTAAGGTATCACAAGATTTTTGCCGTTTTTTTTTAATGTTTCTTTTAGTTTTTGCTAGATATGCTGGCTCAGACTAACATAGCTACCATGTTTCCCCGAAAATAAGACTGGATCTTATATTAATTTTTGCTCCAAAAGCACATTAGGGCTTATTTTCAAGGCATGTTTTATTTTATAATCATGTCATCTTCTGGTTGCTGCATGATGGCGGAGGGCGGGGTTTCACTTAACTTATTTTTGGGGCAGGGCTTATATTACAAGCATCCTGAAAAATCATACTAGGGCTTATTTTCAGGTTAGGTCTTATTTTCAAGAAACAGGGTATAAGCAGCATGCTTTGCTTTGTTTCTTGGATTAAAGCTTCCAGAATCCTTCACCAGTAGCTGTGTTGGCCAGGATTTCTGGAAGTTGTAGCCCCACAAGATTGGGACCCACTGGTGCAACACATCATCAGGCCCTGCTTATATCCTTAAACATGAAAACTGCCATTTGGCACACCAAATGTTTCTTGGTGCTCCATCAGGTCAAACCAGAAGACAAGTCCTTTATTGTCCATGCACTGTTTCCTCCTTCATAATACAGAACAGACGTAAAAGATTTTTCTGGGCTCAAAAATGGGATGAAGGGGCAAGATAAATTAGACGACAAAGAGACCTATAACAGGCTCTCTTTTAAAATTTTGGCAAATAGCAGCTGTAGAGGAAAAGAGACAATCTGTTCACCCTCCCTGCTGACATTTTCAAAATGGACCTACTACCCCAAGCTGTTATTTGGCTGTGAGGGAAAAGATATTATTTGTACAGTCTGCATTAGATAATGGGGACAAACAGCAATTCTGCATATGTGGTTCTTCAGTGTAAATGCCAAGGATAGCCATTCTCCAAATAGGAAACTAAGATTCTGATTCCAAGGTAGACCTTCAGATTATATTGCTAATGCAGAGCTGATGGCTTCCCATTTTTCACTTAAATAAGTTTCAAAACCCCGCCATACTACTAGATTTCTTCTCCTGTCATTCTCCAGGTACAGCTGAGTCCTAGACATTAGTTTGCTAGGAAAACTAGTGCCCTAACCCTGTAACCAAGTGAAAGTTAGAGTGTTCCAATGCACAAATCAGAACATGCTTCTTGACATGATCTTCTCCACTTATATTAACAAAGTGTACAGCACCATGGATGCTACCTGGCTTACATATAAAAATACCCCTTTATTAAAGCCTGTGGGGTGACCACCACATGCAAGAACTATGTGCCTAAATTTTAGAGTGCAAAAGAAATAAGGGTCCCAGGTGAATTCCTCTCTCTCTCTCTCTCTCTCTCTTTATTCTCTCTGTTTAAAGGACCAGCCCTACCATTAGGCAGAGTTAGGCAGTCATCTCAGGTAAAGTGGAGACAACAGTGGTGAAAGCCTATTTGGAAAAATCTAGTTCCTTAAATCTGTTCTTTACTTCCACTCTGTGTTCATAAGGGATTTGGTTTAGATTATACCTGAGTGGCCCAGTGGTTTTTCCTACTCTCTTCAGTCTAAGCTTGAATTTTGCTATGAGAAGCTGATGATCAGAACCGCAGTCAGCTCCAGGTCTTGTTTTTGCTGACTGTATAGAGCTTCTCCATCTTTGGCTGCAGAGAATATATACCGTACATATATCTGGAGCACCAACATTTCACTCTCTATATGTCAGAAAGTAGGTTGTGTCCATGGACGTTCGAGCTATGATGCATCTCTTAGAGGTTCCATGGGACTTTTAGCCATTCTGCTGCAACAAAGGAATATGGTAACCCAGGGAAAAATTTTGAACCACACCTCTCTGCAGGACATCAGAGCTGTGTGTTTTAGGGGGATCCTAAACTATCTCACTTCCTTCCAATTGGTGGAGATAAGAGTCAACCATCAGTACATCCAGCTCATGCAGGTGAAAGGGTGGGTGCGAGGCACCATTTTGTTTTTTCGACTTAGCTAGTGAAATGTCTTGGGCTGTTCTTGTCTATTAAGTCTAACAAATATAATTTTTATTCCAGATGGTTTTCCAAGTAAAAATATGAAAAGTCCTGTCTTAAACCTCTCACATTTAGGATGAACATTCTCTTCTAAAGATGAAACACAGATGTCATCCTCTGGTTTTAGCATAGCAACTTTCTATGAGTCAGATTAAAGGGCCGTTAAACTGGATTCGTTAAATTGGGATGGATTTAAAGCTACATAATGTATATAGTTGATACATCTCAGGGAACTGGCTAAAGTCCTAGAGAACTGATATGCTCTCTGGGGTCTCCAAGACATTATCCTATTACCTACTGAGCTAGGTTTCCCTAGATCCAGGTCATATTTAACCAGATTCCCTGTGTTCTTATGTACCCAGTTAGTTTCTCCAAAAGCAGTTCTGACTCTTTTCAAAGCATGGCCTGCTCCACTGTGTGACATTACAAACCTCATCCACAGGAAGTTCAGGTTTGGGCCTCAATTATCCCAGAATGGGATGCTGTTGATCTAACAACCAACTCCCCATATAAAACCAAAGCCATCAAAACAACAGAAGCAAGGTGAAAGGTAAATGTTCCCCTTTACATTTAGTCCAGTCGTGTCCGACTCTAGGGCGTGGTGCTCATCCCTGTCTCCAAGCCATAGAGCCAGCGTTTGTCCATAGACAGTTTCCATGGTCATGTGGCCAGCACGACTAGACCCGGATGCCGTTACCTTCCCACCGAAGTGGTACCTATTTATCAACTCGCATTTGCATGCTTTCGAACCGCTAGGTTGGCAGGAGCTGGGACTAGCGACAGGAGCTCACTCCATCGCGTGGATTCGATCTTATGACTGCTGGTCTTCTAACTTTGCAGTACAGAGGCTTCTTCGGTTTAACCCGCAGCGCCACCACTCCCCATAACAGAAGCAAAGACCTATGTATCTATCACAAAATGCAATTTCACCTGTGAAAATAACCGCAGGGACAAAAAGAGCTCTGACCTTTGTTGTTGAGGTAAAACGCTCCACTTCCAAAACACGTACTCGAATTGGGCAGCCAGTTAGGTAGATCTGTAGATGGGCCTCTTTAAAGCCCTTAGTGTTATAAATGGCAGAGAATGGAATGCCCACTGAAAAACACGAGAGGCCAATTTGAGCACCTGTTCCTTAACTGTGTTTTACAGCACAACTTAGGATAGGCAAGAAAGGTTAAACTGAAAGCAGTTAAATGAAACAGCAGAACGCCATAGCCCATTGCGGACTTTCTTTTCAACTGCGTGCCACTGGAGTTCAACAGCAGCCTTCAAATAAATAAGGCATAATTACTTGTTTAAATTGGAGCCAGACTGTTAATTTTGCACAGAACAGAATTCGAACCATATTTGGAAACTTTACATTTTCTGAGTTCCTTGTAATGACTTTGCCTCATGATCGCTATATAAGGCACCAACATGAGGCAGATGAATACAGAGTGTATCAATCTATATTGTATATTAGTGCCAAATTGAAGCAATCCCTTCTGCCATATGAAAAACATCTTTATGTACAGTATTCCATTTGCAAAAAAAAACATGTTCAGCTGAATTTCTTCATGAATAAGATATTCTGTAATTTATATATCAAACCTCCAATGCATTCAAATTACTCAATGAAGATGTAGTGGTGAGACTGAGCTACCGTTAATGAAAAAAATATTACCAAAAATACACTTCGCAGCATCTACAGCTACACAGTAATGCACATAAATTTAAAACTGAACTCTTTGTCAAACGAGTGTAGTACAAGCTGGTGGTTTGCTTTATTTATTGCTCCATGTTTGTAGACTTTCTCCTCCATAAATTCTGAGAAATTCTCGGAAACCGGTGGAAATTAAGAACCCAGGACAAAAAGCAGAAACAAATAGTTTTTCATCTATGTTTTAGCTGTTGCTTTGTGGTTAATTCATTTAAGCAGTTTTAAGTTTGCCAACTGATGAAGAAGGGGAAATATATAATTAGCGTGCCAGAGAAAAGAAACAGCCTGGCAAAGTAGTAGGTTTTCACTGTGTACAAGATTCTACTTGTACTGAAGTGTAAGCTCAAAAATATCTTATTTAGAAGCACTAAAGAATTATTACTTAGCGACATATGCATGCTAGGTTCTGTATAGTTTATGCACAGCCAGATTACACACAGATAAGGCTATGGATAATGCAAAATATGTGGAACCCATTGTTCTGTGACAAAGGCTGTAGGATTCCAAATGACAGAATGATTGAGGGTGAGTAAGAGGGTTTTCCTGAAAACAAACAGCTGTTACTAGATGGGAAAATATACATCTTGATTTTCTTCTAATATGATAAGGTGCCACATGATTTTTGTGTTTTGTTTTGTTTCTTTGGATTTTGCCTCATATGATAAAGACACGTCACGTGGTGTGTGCGTGTGTTTTAAAAGGAATCCTAAGGTTCCCAATGAGGTTGATTTCACAACTGGAGTTTATTCAATATACTTGTGCCACTGACTCACCAGATGTTTTGGGGTCATGAAGGACATCGGTGTCCACTTCCTCCCCTTCGAAGTGGAGCTCCCTGGTGTCCAGGCTTTCTATTATGTTGCTCATGTCGTCTGCTATTTTCCTCAGTGTCGAGGTGTTCACTCTTTTTCCATTGCTCAGGGACATCTTAAACACTTACACCCATGAACGGGGGGCTGTTTGAGAGAACAAAAGAGAATGAGGCACTAGTCGTATCCTGCCTCCAACCTCCTTACAGCATCCTTTTATATATACAGTGGGGTCTTGACTTGAGAACTTAATCCGTATTGGAAGGCAGTTCTCAAGTCAAAAAGTTCTCAGGTCAAATCTGCATTTCCCATAGGAATGCATTGAAAACCATTTGATCCGTATCTGCTCTTTTCCGTCCATAGAAACTAATGGGAAGCTGCTATTCCGCGAGGCACTAGTCGTATCCTGCCTCCAACCTGTTACAGCATCCTTTTATATATATACCACAGTACAGCACTTTGCAGTATTTTTTAAACTCTAAACGCTGGGAGGAGTGAGGAAGCAGATAGGCACCCTTTTCACTGGCCAACAGTTAACTGAAAGTTCAAATTTTGCACTTTCCCTGCCTCCCACGTGGGTTTTTTTCAGTTCTTAACTCAAATCTGTAAGTCAAGTCAATATTTTCCTATGAGAGTGGTTCTTAAGTCAAAATGTTCTTAACTCAAGCCGTTCTTAAGTCAAGACCCCACTGTATACCACAGTACAGCACTTTGCAGTTTTTTTTAAAGTAACAAGCAGTATTTAGTCATTGTACATAGTTTCTTTAAAATTGCACACAGTTTCTTTAGTAAACTGTAACTATAACAGTAATTACTATGGGATCTTGGAACTATAACTGGGACTAATTCATTACTCTTCAAAAGAAAGTTTTCAAGTTCTGGTTCATCTCATTACCACCACCACAACTTTACACACAAACACTAAATGAACTAAAATCATTGTCTACACACACCTGGAATACCATTGAGAATCAAAGACATGGACAGTATTATGTTTGATGGGAGCGTGCTCCTTGGAGATTCTCCCAAAATCCTTTGCAGAGCCATAAGTAGCCATTTTGGTGGTTGGGGCTTCACTCCTCTATTGGTTAAGCTTGGGTCACATTAGAAAGGGATATACAGGGAGAAGATAGAAGGTCTGAAAATTTAAATGATGTATTTATTTGGCAGCCAGACTATTTGTTTTGTGTGTTCTTCTGCTTGGGGATGAACATAGTTCGCTTGCTCAAGGCAGTTAGGTCTTTCTAGCAACAGATTTTTGCACCATGTAAATAACCGCAACCTGGGTCAAAGCCACATTTGTTCTGCCCTAGTTATGGCTCTGTGCAGCAGAGGTGCAAGCAGCCAATTCTTCATCATAAAAAAAGTCAAACAGACTCCTTCAAGCTATTCAACTGGAAAATGACACGCAGCCTAGCAAAGGACTGGCCCTTTCATTAGCCATCGCCACAGTCAGCAGATGCTAACAAATGAGAAGTGGTGGCAAGCTGGGGGGGGGGGACAGAAAAACCAGACCCCCATGTAGCTCGCCCTCCACTTCTTAAGCTGTCCCTCTGGTCTCAGGTGCAGTAAAGAGAGCTTCCTCTTCCTATTTGTTAAAGTAAGTTTCAGCTGACAGTACGTTTGCCAGTTCAGCAGCGATTTCAGGGCCAAACTCTGAGACCTAGGGGTGTACCCTTGTAATGTCATAGGCATACCCCCATCATATCACAGGGTATGTGCCCTTGGGACATCATCATGGTTCTGGACTTTCAGCAACAATTACAAAATGGTGTTTGTGTGTGTGTATGTTTGTATATTTGTGTTTGTGTGTGTAATATTTGGCACTAGACATGGGCATGTCTGGCATGGATCCCCATTTCGGTGCCCCGTTCCCTCCAGTAGACGGCCAGGTCGGAGGCGATGGGGCAGAGTGTGGTTGCTGAACAGGTGCCGACTGCACGGGACTGCAGATCAGCTGTTCGGACAGGAAATGAATCACACCGAACCAGCACTTTGTGCCCATTTTTATTTGCCATCTTTTTTTTCCTGCCGGCAATGTGGGCACAATATCGTGTAGCAACACCAGGCCATTTCCTGGCATTTTGAATCATGGATACAGAACACAATGTCCCACATTCATAAACCAGAGGTTGCTTTTTTAAAAGAACTGAATCATAAATAATGTGCAGAAAAGTGATGAACTGTAAAAGCTAACCAAATAGCCATAGCCAAGGGCTACCTCCCAGAGTCTGTTGGGAAAGATTTGCAGGCTGAAGACTACAACGCACAGTGGAAAGGAAACACATTAATGAAAAGAAACAGAACACCATTGGCTAAATCAAAGCTGGGACAGGGGTCAATTTGGATCGACTGATGAATCTCTGTGTGCTCTGTAGCATGTCAAGAGCTCTAATCAGGCATTTTTAAAAAGGGTGATTATGAAAGTATGAGTACGGAGAGAGTTGTAACTCTGCTCACTTCCTTTCAATACTTCCGCAGGCAATCCAAGCCAGAAAAATACGGAGCCTCTCTGCACAGTGGGGAACCTGATTTTCTAGGACCTCAATGATAGTTTTAATTGCTTTTAATTATGCCATTGTATTTTAATTAGTGTATAGTTTGTTTTTTAATGTTTAGCTTATTATGGTTTTAATTTTAATTTTTTTAAATATTGTGAGCCGCTTCGGGTCCCCTTATCAAGAGAATGGTAGGCTATAAACAAAACAAACAAAATAAGTTAAATAAGGCTGCGCAGCTCCATAATAAACAGCAAAAAAACCCTCTCTTTTTTTTGCAAAAGGCAGAGACTATAAGGCAGAAGAATGGGGCTCTCCCTTAGAACATGCACCTGACATAACTGACAGATTTTTAAAAACGGCTTCTCATTCCCGTTATCCCTTTCCTGTCTTCCGGTTGCCAAATTGGTTCAAACCCCTCTAAATTTTAAAAGTCTCCGTTGTGTATACTGTAAATATTTGATAAACAACAAAGTGCCTTGTCGTTTTGGTAAGGTGCACAGCTGTATAATGAGAGATTTAAATATTCAGAAATGGCAGCACAAACCTTTGCCCGCTTTCACTGCTAAATATTCTAGAGGAACATGCTCCGAATAAGACTCATAATGTGCCCTTAGGAGCAGATGGGAGTCCTCGTGCTTTTACTGTTTGGGAGGGAATATTTACATTTTGAGAATCTCCTGGTTCCTTACTATTTTCTCTCTCTGCAGAGTCAAACCTTATATACTCCTACAGTCCCAGTGTCTCTCAGAAAAATTATATGAAACACTATGTATTTTTCCCCTGGACATAGTTCTCACCTTTGGAAGTCATCGTTCCAGACCTCAGGAAAGTTACATTTGAGGACTACCACTCCCACAATCCCCCAGCTGAAGCATTCTGGGACATGTCATTTAAAAAAAGCAAACTTTCCCAAGCTATGAATGTTTGTTTCATTGTCACACTGGTGAGTCTCTTTCCTGAAAGGTCTGCTGGTTAGTGACTTTCTGTTCTTATTCGACTTGGCTTGCTTGAACTCATCCTCTGTATTCATTACTCTCACACTTCATCTTCACCTTAGTTGCCTTTAGCAGCATGTGCTTTGCGTTCTCTGTCTCTCTGCTCTGAATGCATATTTTGGGAAAAAGTGCAGGATCCCAAAATTCTTCTGCACATCCTGCACCCTGCTCAGCCTATAGAGTTTGGAAATTGAATGGCAGCTGCAGCCAGTAAATTTCGATAACCCTTTTGTTAACTTACAAAGTACCTCCATATCTGTGGGTTCAGTATCTGCTTATTCACTTATCCACAGTCTGAATATATTAAAAAAAATTAAAAGAAAAATTCCCATAAATTTACATTTCTAATGATGAAGTTATCAGAACGGACCATTAGAGGGAACCAAACACTATGTGACATATAGCATTTGCTATTATAATAGTGCTTGCTATTATCCACATTTTTCAGCATCCACAGGAGGGCTTGGAACCAAACCCCCGAGGCTATAGGGATCCTACTGTAGTAGACAGTATGAGCTGGACATGTTAACCACAATACCAGTAAGGGCACATGCAACCATTATTGAGATGTCCCCCACTTTATCCATCATTTCTCATTCTGATTAGTCCATGGGGAGGGATTATAAAACTTCTGTTCTTTCCAAGATTTCTGTACATATCTTCCGGACATTTTAATTTGGTTGCTGCTAGATTCTGGAAAGTACGACAATCCCCAGTTTATACAAAGATTAATTATGACACTCTCGTTTAAACTTAAATGCATTATTGCAAGTTAATCACACACATTCCAAGAAAAAATAAATAGCAATGTGTACAGGTAATTAATATAATTTGTTGAGCTCATATTTCCCTTACATATACAATTACAGTCTGCACATGACATACCAATAATTTCAGGAGGAAACATATAAATATACTTATTTACAGTATATATTTACCTACTTAGTTACTTAAAACTAAGAAAGAGAAGGAGATGAAACATACCCTACTGAAAAGTAAGCACACATAAGGGATTCTGTCTGGCCTTCGTAGAAGAAGCCAGGCAACTGGAACCCCCCTAACAGGAACACTCCACAATGCAACCTTCTGTCAGAGTTGTTTGGCAGCAAGCTGACTTATATTGCAATACAGTAGTGCCTCGCTAGAAGATTACCTCGCAAAAATGGTTTCGTAGAAGAAGCCAGGCAACTGGAACCCCCTAACAGGAACACTCCATAATGCAACCTTCTGTCAGAGTTGTGTGGCAGCGAGCTAACTTATATTGCAATACATTAGTGCTTCGCTAGAAGATTACCTCGCAAAATGGTTTATTCGCAAGACGATGGGTTTTTGTGATCGCTATAGCACTTCGCAAAATGGTTTTCCCTATGGCCGATTTTCACAAGACGGTTTTTTTGGGGACCGTTTTTTGCAAGATGACAATTTTGACAGCTGAGGCCGCGCTTCGCAAAACGATTTTTTTAGGGACGGTTTTTAAAATGGTTTTCCCTATGGGCGATTTTCACAAGACGGTTTTTTGGGGGACCTTTTTTCGCAAGACGACAATTTTGACAGCTGAGGCCGCGCTTCGCAAAACGATTTTTTTAGGGACGGTTTTTTGCAAGATAGCGATTTTTGACAGCTGAGTCTGCGCTTTGCAAAACGGTTTTCC